AGATTTGCATTCATCTTGGATGTGACAAGCTGCAACTCTCAAGTTCCATCAGACCATGGGACTACCAATGCCATTACGACACCTGCACAGGTGGGATGGCATTGCAGCCATCATAAGATCTCGTGATCCACTTTACTTCCTGCTCCACCTCCTGTTCCACTCCTTGTTCTGCTTCCTGCTCCGCGTCACATGCCTGACGTGCATTCTTGAGAGTTATTTCTTTTAAATGTTAATCTTCTGCTTATGAAGATTTGTATATACATATATAAATATCTTAACTTATCTTATTTTATTCCTAAGCAATTTCAATTGCAGAGCTAATCGAGCTCCGAATATGGAAAAGTTGCCATTATCATGGAATCAGGAGTTTACGTTGTGACTTTCCCAATTGCTGTTTGCCTCTTAACATTGCATATTAAACATATTTTCCATGCTTAGCTATTAGTTAGAGCAACTTGACGTGCTGCCCTCGGCAATCATTTTTTGCTTGCATTACAACGAATGCCGTGAAAATGTTCGCTTTGATCTGTTTCAGCAAAGTAGCAAAAAACTGACAGAGCTAAAAGCGAGGCTTAAAGCAAGCAGCGAGAGATAAGTTAAGCTGGCTTAGACTGGTTTATTGGTTTGATTGCTAACGAGCAATAAAAAGAGGCGAGGAAGAGAGGGAAAGAGTGACTGAGTGAGTGAGGGAGAAAGGTGAAGGTTCAGTTGAAGTAGCTGTAATTAATAGTTGTTCAGCTTCAAGAAATTGTTCTACAAAAAGCATATAAAAGTAATAATACAAACACACATGAAAAGTTAAGTGTGTGTGTGTGTGTGGCTACAGAAAACATGAAATGAAATGAAAGAAGTCAACTAAATAAATGTTGCATATGCTGAGGCCAGTGAATAAAATCAAAATAAAAACTCATTTATCAGTTCACACACACACACCTACAGACACTAGAGAATTGGCATCGATATGCGAAATGGACAAATCTGTGTGTCGGCCAAGGGAAAAGGTCACAAAAGCAGGTTAAGCTGCTTTTTAAATAATACGCAGAACACATTAATGCTCACACACACACACACACAGACAGCAGTCTCTCTCATACAAACACATGTGTGCGCATAGCGCCGCTCAGCCGCTGGCACGTGCTGTCGCTGCCGCAGCCGAGCAACGACTGAATCGCAGCCGAGCGGCCGACACAGAGCCGAGCCATAGCCGAGCGCCAACGAAAGGCAGCGCGAAACGCGAAGCGTGACACGACGAACGCAGCGACAGCGAAACGAAGGCGAGCCGAGCGCAGACGCTGCTCGGCAGTTCGGCTGCGACGACTGCAGCGACTTCGGCTGCTGCTGCTGCTGCTGCGACGACTGTGTGTGTGCAAGTGCCAGCAACATCGTAGCGTAATCCGTTCGCTTGGATTTTTTGAATTAGTTGCGTGTGGTAGCTTGTTGACAACAGAACCGGGCACCGGATGCGGATGCCAAAAAGAAAACTCTCTAAAAACGAAACACGTGCGTGGCCAGGCGAAACAGCAGCGGCAGCAATTGCAATTGCAACTGCAACAGCAGCAACAATATATATTGCAACTGTTGTGATTGCAGCAGCAGCAACATATATGACAATTGTAAGCTGAGTCAACAACAACAGTTGCTCCGGTGTCAGCAATATTGACTGAGCTGGCTGCAATAGTTGCTGCTGTGACTGCAACAATTGCTGCTGTCGACTGTTGCTGTTGTGCTTAACACCTGCTTAGACTTGTTTAAATATTTTTTTTCATTGTTTGTTGTGCCACGTGGCACGTGTGTGTGCTTGTTTGTTTGACTGTTTTTTTGCCAGCTGATTGGGCACTTTGTGGCGGCTGCTGCTGCTGCTGCCACTGCTGGTTGCGGCGGCAACAGTTGCTGCTGCAGTGCGGCATGGCTGGTTTTTTTTTCTGCGGTTGCCGTCGGGCTCAACGTTTAGCTAGTTTTGCGGTGCGCTTTTGCTGCGGTGGCTAAAGCACAAACTACAACAAGCACAACTACAACAGCGACGAGAACGACAACACCAACGATGACAACAACGAAGTGCAATCAAATAAACATCAAATTATTAAACACAAGAATTTTTTTCCCGTTTTTGTTTTTGCTTTTCACAGCAATTAGCAGCAGCAGCAGCAGCAGCGAGCAACTAATTGCAACTAATTAAAAGTTTCTGATATATAAATACATATATGCGAATGAAAATGAAAATGTTAATGCAAGTGTAAACAGAAAGCGAGAAAAAGAAAAGCGAAAAGCGAAAAGCGAAACGCGAAAAGCGAAAGAAAGTGTTTGCTGGACAGTGCGGAAGTCGTGCTGCAACAACCAGTTGCAGCTGGAGCCAGGCCGATGCATGTGGCGCACAGGTAAGTGCCGCGCAATGCCGCTTAACAACATCACCCAAGTGGCTAGCAAGTGGCATGCAACACTGCTCCCTCGAGGGCCACATCGAAGTTGCCCCACTTCAAGAAAGAAACTAGAAAAAACGAAAATATCAGATAGAAGCTCCACTCGACGCGACTCGACTCAATGCAGCGACTACTTCAAGTCCAGCGGCGAGTCCTCTGCAGCCAGCCAGTCCGCCTCCACCTGCATCTCCCCCTCACGCTCTGCCTCTGCGTGTGCTTCCCAGTTAAATTCAAAAATGATTTTCATATATTTTGTTGACACATTTGGAGCAACAGGAATTTTGGTAACTCTTCAATCGAAATACAAATATTGCGTATACGCCCCAGTTGCGAGTCGAGACTTTTGATTGGCCTTTATTGCTGCATAGTTTTGCTGGGCCTAATGTACTGGCTCTGATTTACTGTTTGTTAACTTTGATTTACTGCCAATATGTAACCGGACCAATTCAGTTTCGGCCTTGATTTAGCTATTTGCTGGGATCTTTAAGCCATTTTCTCGTAAAATATGAAATTTATTTATCAAACATAAATTTTTGCTCTACATTTTCCATATTTGCTAGCTATTTTGTTATTAAAGTTTATATTCAAAATATTGCGCATACGTCACGTGTGCACTTAGCCGCAGTAACTAAGTTAAATCTAATTGTTATGCATTTTATTCGAAATATTTTGATCACATTTTACGCTTCTATTGAGATGGAATTTCTGAAATATTCCATATATTATGCTGAGCATATATACATCTATAACGTGTGTGCCTTATTTCAATTATATTATATGGGAAAATTCTCTGTGCATTTATGAAAATAATATGTACACGTCAGACAAATACTGAACTCGCATTCTAAACTGCGCTGAAAACGTTGTGGGAAATATTTATTACTTAGCTAATATTATTTGCGTATACGTAATATATTCCTTGAGCTATATTTCGCTCACATCTATTGCAAACTGCATCGCTGTTACTGTCAGAGCATGTGAAGTATTTGCGTATACGTAATATTCAAAATATCAATTCAACTTCTGCTCGCACTTTGCCTGCCTGCCTGAGTTCTCAAAGTGGCTGTCGCGGGAGACAGCTTCAACAGTTTTCACTTCTAAGATGCTCGAGCTGTGAGCACTGGCTTAGCGTGATCAAAGAACCTGGCGAACGCCATCTGTGGACAAATCTAATAGAACTTTGACACTTATAGCAGAGCATACACAAAATATTACGTATACGTCAGTCGACACTCTCGCAGAAACTTTCTTTAAGTCATGTCTGACACATCATTCACGTGAATTGCATTGCATTTAGCTCAAATTTGCGAAATATAGCCATTTTGAGCTTCCAGACAACATTTATGTTAGCAAATAGCAAATATTACGTATACGTAATATTCACAATATGCAATTTGTCCACTAAATAGTCTGACTGAAATATATTTTGTCCTTTATAGTACATTTGCTAAGTATTGAAATTGTTTTTAGACCTCACAGTCAACTTGCTGCATTAGCCAGTAGATATTACGTATACGCCCCATTAAATATTTGCAAAAGCAACGTTAGCCCATGCTGAGCTCTGGAAAATGGCTTCGATTTGAATCTTTTTCTGAATATATAAATTTGATTTTCTTCGGAATTTTAGTGTTTGACTTTGCAGCGCTTTCAAATCACATTCGACTTTCCACACTTCCTGCAATTCTAGTGAAACTTGATTCCATTTTTTTTACGCGTCTTAAGTGATCTTAATAAATAAGAAGTGTAACTTGTATTATATTTTTACATGAAGTTGAGCAAAGGTAGAAGCTGATTCAGCTGCCAAAGTTTGGTGATCGCTATTAAAAGTTTCGAGCTTGAAGTCTCGAGAGTTAAAAGTGGAAAAATGACTTGCGTTCATGCGGATGGACGGACGAACAGATAAAAAACAAAGAGGGAGACAGGCAGACGGATGGACGTACGAATGGACAGACGGTCGAAGAGATGGTCGGACTGCAGGACGTGCGGAGGAACAACCGAACAGTTGGATGAACATATGGAGAAGGGAAAGTGAGATAGACGGAAGGTCAAGCGGACTGCAAACGGCGGACGACGAGCAGTAGAATAGACGGGCAGATGGAGAGGAAAACGAGCTATGAAACTGAAAGAAGGACGGATGGACAGATGGAAAGAAATATTATGGAACGGACGGACTACGAAACCGTCGGACAGACGGGCAGATGTATGGATGGACGGACGGACCAAACTATGGAACGGTTGACCAAAAGGGGAAACGGAAGAAAGGATAAAATGTAGGACGAAAGCAAGGACGGACGGACAGTTCGGCGAGACGTGGTGACACCAGAGCAGGTGGCATGGGCAGAGAAAATTATTGCGCAAAGCTAATGAAAATATAGTCTTCAGCTTTGCAAATTAATTTTCGATTCAATTTAAGTCTCACAAAAGAAGAATATTTGGCTGAGCTACGAGCTCTGGACTTGTGCTCGAAATTTGAATTTGAATTTGAATTTGAGTTCAGATGCGTGCTCAATGGGCTTAAATGAAAAGCTCTGCCCGTTGTCCTTGCTATGTATAAAGGAAAAGCAAAGAAAAGTCTAGGTTTTATTTTCATTTAATTCATTTGTCAGCTTTGCATTCAAGCTTCGATTCGATTGCTAGTTGCGACAGATCCTGCTGGTCGGCGAGCAGCAGCAGGGACTCATTTCCACTTTCCTTGAGCGTGTGCTTGGGATCGAGCTGCAGCTGCTGTTGCTGTTGCTGCTGCTGCTGCTGCTGTTGCTCTAGCTCAAGATCGTCGTCATCCTCGCTGCACATGAGCAGCGCATAGTTGTGCTGCGCCTCTGTATAGCTGCTGATGTCTTCGTCTTCCTCCTCCTCCTCCTCGTCCTGCTCTTCCTCCTCCTCCTGCTCATATTGCTCCGCCTGCTCCTCTCGTGCATCGTGCTCAGCCTCAGCTTCGTCCTTGTCGCTGTCTGTCTCACAGCAGAGCATTTCGTGCGCGAGCAGCGCCACAGACTCATTGCTCGAGTTCTCCAGCTCGCTGTCCATGTCCGAGTCGCCATTGAGTGGGCTATACTGAAACTCCATATGCTGCTGCTGTTGCTCTTGCTCCTCTTCCTCCTCCTCCAGCTGCTCCTCGACCTGTTCCAGCTGCTCGAAGCTGGGCAAGTTGCGGTAAGCATCCGAATCGCTAAAGACTAAGGCAGAGAGTGAGCGAGAGATTCAGAGTTCGGATTTGATCGATGATCAGATCTTACGCACTTTCGCTGCCATCGCTGTCGCTGCTCTGTTCGCTGCTGTTGGTTCGCGCCAGCTCCTCCTCCGCCGGCACCAGCTCCGCCTCCGCCTCCGCCTCCTCCTCGTCCTCCAACTCCTCCTCCTCCTCACTTTTCATAGTCGGCAACGACATCGGCTTGGCCTTGTCCAGTGCCATCTTTCGATTTGAGAAGTGTGTTTGTTCGATCGAGTCTCGGGCCCTACGAAATTCGAAATGTTTCTCTATGCATCCTATGTACGTCACGTTTCACGCTTCACATTTTCCCCATTTCCCTAGGCGAATTAAATTTTATAGCAACTGCAGTCGGAGTCGCAGTCGCAGTCGCAGTCGCATTCGCTTTATTCGCATTGCGCCTTTAAGAGGCGTCACCAGACGTTGGCCAAAACATGCCAATTGGCAGCTAGCACGACCAAACGACCACAGCACGGCAACAAAAGTAACTACAGCCACGCCCCCTCCCCTTTTCGGGCACACACACTCGCACACTCGCACACCCAGCAGGCAGAGCTACGCTCGGTGTAACGAGTAAATTTCTTTAGCTCTGCGAAATGCAACAAATAAAACAAGTTTTACTCCAGCTCGGGAACACGTTTGCCAGACTGTTAAATACCCTGCAAAAGCAGCGAGAGCCTGCTTTATATGTAGACCATACTATACTCGCAGTGCGTTCTCAGAAACTGCTTTTATGCCGCACCTTTACGACTTTTCTATACCCTGTAATAAAGCTGGCCGCTATTAATTGTGTCTTCTATATTTATTGGCCATGATATACCCTGTAACTATCCTGTAACTATGCAACAGCAGCCCTTTAGTATATATGCTTAAGCATTTTCACAACTGTATACCCTGTAATAATTTGTTGAGTTAGAAATGAAAAAAATGCTCAATGCATAGAACGTGCTCGACTATCAGCTGCCCTAGCAAAGCACACGCAACAGTTGCTTACGCTTTTTGACTCACATATACCCTGTAAAATGCTTATGCTGAGGCTAGCCTAGCATGAAATACCCTGTAAATGCCATCGACTGCCCCTACAGCCAGTAGCCGTGCTAACACACAGCAATACAGGGTATCCACAGGCAGCAACGATGACTAAGCACTGCCTCTAAATGCATCTCTTTATTAATCAAGTTTCCTTTGAGTCAGCGCCGCCGCTTGGCATTCTACAGGGTATGCGCAGGAGCTTGCCGCATCAAGCATTCGACTGCAGCTACCGCTTATCATGGAGCACTGCGTCCACTACTTATCATTCTCATCTGGTCGACTTTTGACCCCGAGGCCATGTTGTAGCTGCCCCCCCCCCCCCCCTCTGTCTTTCTCTCTCCCTCTTTTTGTTTGTTGCAACAGAATTTCATTTTCGGCCCGTTTAGCATTTGGCATTTTGGCATTCTTTATGCTGTCGCAATCCTTCCGCTTTTGCTCCCAGCTAACAGCTTCTGCTACTTCTTTACTCTTTTTGTCGGTTGCAGTTGGGCTTTGCCATTGTCACCCACACACGCACACACACACACACACGTTGTTGTAATAAACCCTATTTTACTTTGCTCTGCACGCTCTCTCTCTCGCTCCCTCATTCTCGTCTCTTCTTCCCTCTCCCTCGTCCTCTCTCTGTCTCTCTAATTACACACCAAATTTACTACAAACGAGCAATAAAAATCATTCAAGCAAAATCTCTGCGCTAACCACGTAACCAGACCCCATTTCCACTTATAGCCAACTCTCTTCCCCGCTCTCCTCTCTCCCTCTCTCTGTCTTTACCCCTTTCTCGCGCGCTTGGCATGCAAATGCTTTTTTTCTCACGCACACACACACAGAAAACATTAACAACAATGACAATAAATGAAGAACATTAACGCTAAGCGTTTGCCTCAGCTCGGCTCCATTCCTCCCCCTACCACCCCCACCCCCCTCCCCCTCCCCTTCCACTCGCTCGCTGTCTCCTTGTCTTGCTGTGTATGACACAGCATTCGCCATTCAATGAAATAACATTTAAACAATTAAACACTTTGTGCACTGAGCGAAATTGGCGCTGTCAAATGGCATTGTGAATGCGCAGGCGGAGCATGTGGCATTGCCATCAAGTGGCGCCTCAAGCGCTAAGCTCTCATGTGCTCATGCTAATGACACAGCGAGAGCAGCCCCTTGCCGCCTCTAACGACAGCAAAGCGAGCTTATTACGGCTTGTTTCTCTCAGTGTAGCGCTGGCATACTTTTGACTAAGCTGCGATTAGCTAGCAATGGCAAGGCAGCTGCAGTGAGACAGTGAGAAAGATAAGTCAATAGGCCCTAAAGATCTGTAGAATCAAGAGTGAGAGAAAGTGGTAGAGAGAGATGGAGGTAGAGACTGGGATGGTGTGAGCAGGAGAGAGAGCGGGGCAGAGAGAGAGAGAGAGAGGGAGAGAGAGAGAGAGAGAGAGAGAGAGAGAGATAGAGAGAGAGAGAGAGAGCGACAGAGAGAGCTAGAGATAGAGAGCATCTCTCTATCTACCGCTCTCTCTCTCTCTCTCAGAGAGAAAGAGAGAGATAAGAAGGGAGAGAGATGAAGGAAGAGATGCAAATTGAAGAAGTTTGAGTAAGCGAGAAGCAAAGAAAGAGAAAGAAAGAGAGAGAGAGAAATTGAGAAAAAAAAGAGCGAGATAGAGAGCACGATAGAGAAAAAAATGTATCAGAGTCAGATAGAGAGAGAGAGATTAAATTAGAGAGAGATATTCAGAAAGAGCGAGAGAGAGCATGAGAATGAAAAGGAAAGTGAGAGAGTGAGAGAGAGATCAAGTGCGAGAAAGAAAAGGATCTGAAGAGAGAGAGAAAGAGAGAAATGTAGAGACAAATTAAATGAGAAAGAGATGAAGAGAGTGACAGAGAGAGAGAGAGAGAGAGTGTGAGAGTGTGAGCAAGAGAGACACACAAACTGGCTTCGATCCCTTCCCGCCGTCACATAGAACCCAGCCCACTTCATAGCATTTCATGCCCATGTGCAAATATTTATCTCTCTAATCAACTATCTTTCTGTTTGAGCACAACTACATAACTCACCTCTCTCTCTCTCTCTCTCTCTCTCTCCCTCTGCCACTCTCCACACACACAGAGAAGAATTTAATTTGAGTTTTTAGCTGTGGTCCGGCGCTTGGGCTGCCATTTGCTGCAACAAGAACTCGCTAATAAATATATGAGTATTATTATGAAGCCATTTCCGCCAGTTCCTAACTACCCACATTACCTCTGTCTCTCTCTCACTCTTTAGCGCTGTCAGTCTCCCTCGCTCCACACGTTGCTTCCCTTTGTCCTTTCGTGCCACGTAGAAATGTAAAAATATCATTTTAATGAATTTGTTTAGCTGGGCAAAAGTCAATGTTGGGCACGTCGCAACCCTTTGCTCTATCTGCTCTGGCTATATTATTTGATGTTTTACTGTCTGTCCTTGCCCCGCCCACTAGCCGCCCCCACATGCCTTCTCATTTCGTCTGCCAGTTGTGCTTCAAGTTGCGGAGTTCACTTCACTTAAACTGCCGCTGCGAGTGGCGCAAATTTTACGCGACATAATCGTAATATGATTATCGTGCCACATAATCTCCCACTTGCAGTGCCCCAACACACACACACACACACACACACACACACAGAGAGCGAGTGAGCTGGAGTTGCTGCTCATCTAATGCCTGTTGCCTGCCTTAACCCAGCTCTGTCTCTTGCCTAGTCTGTGTGGGTATGTGTTAAATAATTTCCTTCCGTTTCCGCCGCTTGACAGTTGACAAGCAGCCGAACGCCGCCCGCCGCCCGCCACCCGCCGCCCCCTTTTTCCTGCTCATATATCCGTTTCCGCTGTAGCCAAATGACACCGCAGAAAATGTGTTCCCCAAATCTCATATCATCATTTACGCAGTCATTTTTAGGCAGCTGCCCAGGCGAGCCCCGACCACGTGCCCCTCGCTGCTGCCCTATTCAAAGTTAGCTCGTGCCACGCCCCCCCTTCCGCCCATCACTACGGCTCGCAATTGACATCATAAACAAAGCTTCCACAGCTTGCAACTCATGCGAGTCACACAACTTGCAACAACAACAGCCCGTGTGGCACGTAGCCTGCTCGTCCATGGCCGCCGCCTCTCAGCCCCTCTGCGTCTCTGGCTGCCCTTTTTGCTTGCTGCTCGGCGAGTGTCCTTATTTTAATCTCGACACAAGTTAACGGCATTGTTGGCAGCGCCGTGAGCTCTGCTTTCTGCACATCAACATATAATGTGCTGTCCCAGTTACCCCGCCCACTCGTCCTACGCCCAACCGCAAGCGCCGCCAGCCCGTGTCTGCCTCGGCTTACGGCGTCTCTCGCCTCATTCATCCAACATCTACGTCTCTATTGCAGATTTCAACTGCTGCGACGCGGCTGTTCGCCTCTTCATCATTAGCAGTTAGCAGTCGTTCAGTCGCAGTCGCAGTCGCAGTCGCTGCCGACGTCGCAGTCGTCTGTCAGTTCAGCGTTCATAATGTTATGATGGCTAAAAGCTAATTGCGTTTGTCTGTCTCTCGCTCTCTCTCTCCCTCCCTCTCTGCCTCTCTCTATTTGTCGCTGTCTCTGTTGCTGTTGCTGTTGCTGTTGCTGTGTGTGCGTGCGTGTGTCGCGTATCATTGTCAGTGGGCGGGGGGCGTGGCGGGGCGCATTAAGTGTCACTGAGTGCGTGATCCTTGTAAGCCGTCTAGTTACACATGTTTTTATAGCCTCTTTGCTGCTGTTGCTGCTCTTCTTACGAGAGTTGTTGCTGCTGCTTCTTCTTCTACTGCCACTACTTCTTCTTTAGCTTCCTCTTTTACAACATCATATTATTCTCTTTGTTTTCTTTTTTGCCAACGTCATTGTCGCCGCCCGCGCTCAATGTCTTCGCTTTTTTTTCGTATTGAAATTTTGTATTTTGCACTCGCGAAACGAATTTAATTTACAGTTAGCTCAGATCCAAGCTGATTCCTCTATGCAGTCGATATGAATATATAAGCATTTATATTTGAGAGAGAGGGAGAAGCAGAGAGAAAGTGAAAGACACAGAGAGAGAGAGCGAGAGAGAAAGATAATTTGAGAAAAATAAGAGGAGAGAAAGGCAGAGAGAGACAGTGAGAAAAAAAAGAAAAAGAAACAGAACGACAAGAGAGGGAGAGAGAGAGCCATAGATCGAGATAGAGAGAGAAGTAGAGAGATTGAGATAGGGAGCAAGAGAGAGAGAGAG